CGCTAAGTCAAGATAAAATATTTGACCTGAATCAGATTGAGATCCACGGTCAAGATTGTAATCCAAAATATACCATTTATCATTGACTAGGACACTTTTCTGAAAATAACGAGCGTTAGGTAATGACTGACCGGCAGCCAAAATAATAAAAACAAATTTAAAGTAAATAAGTAACAAAGGTAAAGAGATATTCATATTAAAATTATTCATTGCCTAGTGGAACATGATAAGAAATGCTTAATTTCCGAATATGCTATTTGAATATATATCATAATCATCTCTAATTTCGATTTAATCCAATTTAATTCAATACTTAAATGGAGACAACGCTAAATCTTTTAAACATTGTAATGAGGGATTTTAGAATTAACGTACGGGAATTTAAATTTGGCAGAAATATATAATGTATTTATTTTCAAATGAGCGATATATCGACCCTATTTCATTTTCCAATAAATTTATAATAATGATTTTTGCCGTTGAAAAGTTTATTTATTTCGTTAAATAACACTCCAAGTTCATCTTCCGTTTTCAAATTTTGATACAAATAAGATTTTTAATTCCCACTTATTTATAGCTGTTGTCCAAATAGTTTTAACTGCTGGCCCAAACCAAAAATGGTTTAGTTTAAAATTCCCAACTCTCAATTTATTGGTTTTGGATAACTTAAGTTCAAACCCATTCCAAATATCGAAACTAGTACCAAATCTCAAACTTGTATTAATGCTAAATATACAGTATGTATTAAATATACTTATCTATGATATATTTAATAAAGATGTGTATAAAGACATAGATTGGGATTTAGGATTTAGGATTGGGCAAGTGCCTTACTAATTAGAATTCATATCTTATTTGAGATCGGGGAAGTGCTTTACTAATTTTGGGATTTTATATACAAAAAAGGTCTTAACTAATTCAAGCATAGTTAATACCCTAAAACATCCCAAAGTTTGGTTTGGACGGCAACTTTTCCGAAATATGCTATTCTGAAACTCCTTAATATTTTTCTATCAAATTATATAAATGTTATATAAAATTTTACAAACCCAATAGAACTTATATAGTTAGAATTTATGTATAACTAATATAAGGCTCCGCGGGAAATATATCTCTCCTGCCAATAGCGTGCCACAATTTAATGTAACGTAACACGATCGGAAAAATTTAAAATAAACGCTTGTTCGAAGAAAAAATTGATTTTTTTTCGAAAAAACGCATAAGAAAACTACTTTTGTGCTCAAATTTACTATATGTTTTGGTTATCGCTAGCCCTAATATAATGCTATCCTAACATAAATAAACTTTAAAAGATTTGTGTGATATATCTCTCATGAAAGATATCTATAATCTTCCTTAACATAATATTATATCTACATAAAAATAATGTAATTTACTTTAGCTATTTCTTAAAAGTGACTAAGGTAATCACCGTACGATGTATTAAGTAATAATGTTCAGCTTGCTTGAAAACCTTTCCAAAGCCTCCAATTTAAGTTTAAAATCTAATCCTAGCTTCAATATTTAATTTAAATTTTTTTTTGCAATTTCATGTGGTTCTATATAGAAATATATATAGGTTTATATAAATAACAATGTAATAAAGTTTTTATAAGATTCAATAAAAATTTTACACAGATCTATGTGAAAACTTACTTTGTGATGTGAAATCTTTTTATTTATCGTTATCAACTAACAATCACAATGCGTTGTTACATGGAATTTTCTCAGATAGTATCGCCTGATCCTATGGCTATCCACAATCATAATATGAAAGAAAATGCATGGATCTAAATGTAATTTATCGGATATCTTAATGGATCTTAGATTCAAACACATCCGACATTAAGGAGATATTAGAGTTAGAAGCTAGAGAATGTCTATATTGTTGTTTATATCTATTCTCAATGCATGTATAAATGTCCTTTGTAATCGCCTTGACCTTGGCTCAATCAACTCACCAATAAATAGATTGTCTTCATACACAATCTAATTTTAATCGTTAAGAGACTTCGTCTCAACGAGCTAATAAATAAGAGTCATATCAAGTGACAAACTATTAATATCTTTGTACATTAGTGGTCATATTACCTCTTTCGATAAAGCCTTACTAAATTCTCTTTTATAAGTCGTATATTTGACATCTCTAATATCTCTTAAAAATCAGAGCTACGTATAACTAGAACGTCTTTGAATTTTCTTTAAAAGGTAAAGTTCGAGTGTGACAGCGTCTCCAAAAATGGCAGTTTATTTTATGCGCTAAATATTTACTATATATAAATAGGTCTAAAATATAAGGATAGATACTAAACTTAATTAAAATATGGTTCAGAATAAGTTATACATTATAATCAAATTCGAACATAATGGCAATCAAAATCAACAAGAAAATTTTTCGACAAATTTCTCGATACAAAACCTCATAGAAAGAATTTCATATGATTAGCTTTAAATCAATTTTAATTTTAATTATTTATACGGTTTAAAGTACTTTTTAAAAAAATAAAACTGCAAAAAATAAACAAATAAAAAGTATATAGAAAGTTTTATTAGGGTTGTATGACTTTGCTATTGAAAATAATCAAAATCACTTTTGATTTAGACAAGCTAGCATAATAACGACTTCTTAAAAAAAGATAGAATTAGGTTATCATGCTAACTTTCTAAAGCAAAAGGGAATTTTGATTATTTTTACTTGTATAATTCTACAACTTAATAAAACATTCTATATCCTTTTTTATTATCTTTTGTAGTTTTTTTTTAAAAAAGTACTTTAAGCTGTATAAATAACACCTACCTTTATCTTTTATTTTAATT